ATGCAGACAAATAGGTTACAGTGACAGGGTGATTGAGTGAGGTCTCTCTGGGCAGGTGATGTTCGAGCAGAGATCCGAATGAAGCTGAATGAGACCTGGTGGAAACTGGAGTGCAGAGGAAGAATCTTCTTTCCATGGACGTATGACCAGCATGTGCAAGCGTCCCAGAGTGTGGGGACATGTGCAGCCACAGTTCAGCCGGCTCTCTAGGGCTGCTGTTGGCACAAGCCCACCTTGTCTGGAAAGCACCGTGGTCCACCCAGGGCTGATAAAGCCCTGAAAGATGGAGACCCCTTCTGATGTTTTGTGCCTCCTCATTTTGCTGCTTTGGAATCGGAATTGGTCCATTTCCAAATAAGACATTTATGTGATAGATAGAAAATCCCCTGCAAAGATCATGTAAGAAGATCTTCTTTTTAATTGAGTACTTCATTGGCAGCTGTGCTGCAAAAGATCCAGTAGGTCTTAGTACACAGACACTTTGGTGTCTCTCCCTCTGTGAGCATGCCTGTATATTGAGAGCCGGATGGTAAAGATGAATCCCACCTCTTGTCCACATAGGCTTCCTTGGTTGGGAAACTACTATGTAGAATTTCCTTCCACTCTATTGTGGTCAACGAGCCTTTCATTGTTCCACCCACCAGCTCCCCTTCCTTCTGTTGATCCTTCCATCCTGTCATCCTTTCTTCCTTGAGTCTACCCAACCAGCTATTAATCCTCTTCCTTCCTTGTTCCCTTCCTGTAGACTTCTTTCCTTCTTCTCTGCATCTGCCCATCCAGCCATCCATTAATTCTTCTTGTTTATTTCCTTCCTCCATTTATTCATATTCTTCCATATTTCCCTCACCCATTCATCTACCACCTACCCTCCTTTCTTCTTCCCTTCTATCCATTCTTCCACCCTTAATACTATATATTTCATTCATCCATCCATCCATCCATCCATTTGTCTTTTCTTCCTTCTATCATTTTCCCTTATGTTTTTTCTAACCACCCTCTCTTGGACCCTTCCACCCTCCCACCCTCTCTCCTTCCCTTCATTCATTCCTCCATGTGTTTTCCCATCCATGTGTCCAACTGACATTTATTCACCTAGGCTCTGTCTCTGCTTCATCTGTGACCATCCATTGGTAAAGCAGATTCATCGTCTGAAGTCATGTTCATACTGGGCTTGTGCTGAGTTAGACTTGGTTCTCCTTGTTGCAGGACCTGGCTTTGTCTCTTGGTGGCTCAGTGTCTCAAGGCTCCTGTGTTTGGAGATGATAATGGAATATGCTACCAGGAGGTGGGACTGTGTCCTCCTCGTTTGCCAAGGGTAGTGGTGGGCCAAGACAGTTGTTAGAGGTTTTGGCTTCCAGCTTGCACTTCTTCAGGATTGCTTTGATAGCTGTCCTGTGGCACTGTAGGGTAAGTACTGGACTGCTCACCGCAGGGTCAGTGGTTCAAACCCACCTGCTGCTTCTCGGAAACCCCATACAAGGTCACTATGGCTTAGAACTGACTCGACGGCACTTAACAACGACATGGCCATAGCAATATTAGTACCAGGTAATGAGTGTTAGCACACATCTGTGATCTTAGAATTCTCACAATAGCCTTCTGAGGTAGGTGCTAATATTTCCCCCACTGTCCATGGGAGGAAACTGAGACTCACAAAGGTGAAATCACTTTTCCAAGGTTTCATTTAGGACTTGGGGCCATCTCCTGGGCTCCAAGCCTATGAGCTTAACAGCTAAATCCCTCCTTAGGGTAGATACCTCTGTGAACTTCTACCATTGGGCAGCTCTATGGAAGGAAATGCCACTTCCCTCCTGGCAGGAGTCAGCCAGCCAGTGCTATGTGCAGGGACCACCTGCGTGGCCCTCCTTGCCGCCCCCTTGGGGAGACACCCAGGTCTGCCAGCCTAGACACCCAGGAGCCAGCTCTCAGCACATTTGACTTCCTTGAAGCTGGTGAGCAGCAGCCGCCATGCAGGCCACAAGTCTTAACACACTTTCCTGGGCTCTCCATCAAGAACTGTGAAATTTTATAAAGGAGCTTCATTCTGGCCACAAGAGGGTGCCCAACTCCTGGCCAGTCTGAGTGGGAGATGTGGGAGGAGGGGACAAGGAGCAGGGGGTTGAGTTTGGAGCTCAGTTTAAGCCAAGGTGTCTTAAACCAACTGCCCAAGTGCTTTGGGCTTTGGGAAGGAGAGACATATTTCTCAACCCGATCAGGAGAACAGTTGCATTCAACTGAACCAGAGACTGAGGGAACGTAACAGGGAAAACCACAGGGTTCCTGCTCTCAAGAAATACCCAGTCGAGGTTGGAAGACAGGATTAGAGGGCCCCATTAAGAGTCAGACTTTTATTTTCATTCACGTCTGCCATTATCAAAGCATTTAATGAACACCTTTTATGTGCCAAGGACCGAAAAACAGAACTGCCTCGAGTCTATGTCTCTACGGCGTTCACGGGCCACTCGAGAGACAGCCAGGAAGAGAACTAAGATAGGAAAATGTACAGTGTGGCGCTAGATAGATAGATATCAACCTCCACACCAAACCCACTGCTATCCAGGCGATTCTGACTCATAGCGAGCCTGTATAGGGTTTCTGAGACGGTAAATCTTTACAGCAGCAAAAAATTGTCATGTTTATCCTGAGGAATGGATGGTCGGTTTGAATTGCCAACCTGTGTTTGGCAATCCAGTACTTATCCTACAAAGCCACCAGGGCTCCTTACGTAGATAGAGATATATACAGAATATTTTAGGAGAACCAAAGAAGGGCCCCAATCCAGGATGGCAGGAGGAGAGGAGTATCAGGGAAGGCTTCCTGGAGGAGAGGGTGCCAGAGCTGACTCATGAAAGATGGAGAGGAAGTAACCAGGCAGAGAAGGGAGGGTATTCCAGGCAGCAAGGACAGCATGCATAAGTAAAGGGCTGGGGGTAAGAAACAGTTCAGGGTATGTGGCAGGAGCAGGAAATGAATGTTCACAGGGCCAGATTAAGGGGCCACATTGGAGTGTCGGTGATTGGGTTGAGGAGATTGGACCGTAAGATCCAATTGCAGCATATGATGGAGGAGCAAGTACTGAAAGAACAAAGTGAAGGAGCTGTTAGAGCAGCTCTGGAGAGGATGCCAGAGATGTGGTAACATTTAAACTGGGCGATGGAGTATGTGTAGGAGCTCACCAGACAGAAGAGGGAAACAGTGGAAACACTTTGTGAGGGTTGTTTTGCTATTCCTTGGGACCTGTGTATGGTTGTTTGCCTCTCATCCTCCCCCTCCCATAGCATTCTTCTTCTCAGTCTCTGCAAGTGGGAAGGCTCAGGACTACAGAGAAAAGGGTCCGTGGGAATGTCCATATACAGTGACTTAGTGGTGGTTTTGGTGAAGGTGCCTGAGCTCTGTTTTCAGCCACTCTGGTGCCTATCCCTGAGCCAGGCCTGTGGGCCAGCTAGCCTCAGGGTGGACAGGGGCTTGAAGTCAGATTGGGCTGGAGTGCTGCTATGGGGTGGCAGCAGAGATAGATGCTGGAGACACACAGTCTGACTGGAATGCTGGCACCCCTTCTCTGGGCCGCTTACTCTTCTCAGTGCTCCAGTGTTCTCCTCAGTAGACAAAACCCACAAAACCCCATAGAACAGAGTAGAACTGCCCCATAGGCTTTCCAAGGCGGCGATCTTTAGGGGAGCAGACGGCCACAGCTTTCTCCCATGGAGTAGCTAATGGGTTCAGACACCTAGCTTCCAGTCAGCAGCTGAGGGCTGAACCACTGCACCACCAGGCCTCTCTCAACAGTAGGATGACACTAGCGCTTCTCTCAGGAGGTTAGTGGGATATTTGACCAAGATAATACATCAGAACAGGGTGTCAGACAGACTGCGTCTTCTAGCTCCATTATGGCCAGCAGAGCAAAACTGGAACAAATTTGAGTTTGTAAACTGTGAGTGTATCAGAATGATAACCTGAATGGGGGAAAATTACAGGTTTACACCTTACTGACAACAGAATCTCCCTCTTAGAAAACAGGCAGTGTACGCATGGCATAGCTTCCAAATGTCTTGACTGGCAGAGTCAGAAACCCTGGTGCCCTCCTCACAGTGACGGCTTGAGTGTTTGCTGCTTGCTCCCCACAGTACTGACAAGCATGAAATCTCCCGAAGCAGGCCCCGGAATCTCCCATTCCAGGACTTCGATCTGTCATTTTTCCACTCCACATTTTGAAATAACAAGTCTGTTATGACTTCGTGCGTCAGCCATGACTGAGCCGAACCAGTGAAGCCCTTCATAACCAGCATCCGCCAGGGTGCCTGAGACTGGTTAGCAGCCAAAGTAGCAGAAATGTACTGTTCTTGGTATTTGTTACTAATGCTTAGATTAATCCTCTTTTTTTGTAAATTGAAACATTGTTAAAAAAAAATCAGTGTCTTCGTTTTATGCTTATAATTTCATAGATGTAATACTTTAGTTATGTATCAAAGTGTAGTATGAATGGCTGGAGCCCTTCACCCCTTGGTGTCTCTTCCTCACTATGTCAGCCTTGTGCAGGATCCTGCTGGAAAGTGAATGATTTTGCCTCCTAATGGCGTGGCCCTGCAGGTTAATGTGCTGGACTGCAATGTTGGTTTGAATTGCAAAGTTGGCAGTTCAAGTTCACCAGCCACTCCTCAGAAATCCTGTACAGGGTCTCTGTGAGAGATGACTCGATGGCACTTAACAACAACAACAACAATGAAGATAGCTGGGGTCAGCGGGGGCATGAGAGTAAGCCCAAAATGGTTAGAGCCTTTGCAAGGCTGTATTTTTTTTGCCCTCCATGGTGGGGATTGAATTTTCACACAGGTTTGGGGGAAATCACCCCTTGCCCAAACCCATTTTTTACATGTTTGTGTCAGCTCCAGGGAGCTGGTGAGGCTCCTTGAACCTCGGCCATGGTCTTGGAGCACTCATGGGAGAACCCTGCTCTGTGGGTGCACACTGATAGATTTCTCTCTCTTCATTCTCCCTTCCAGAGCCAAGAAGAAGAGCAAACCCTTGAACCTCAAGATCCACAGCAGCGTGGGTAGCTGCGAGAACATCCCCTCCCAGCAACGCTCGCCCCTCCTTTGTGAGCGCTCCCTCCGCTCCTTCTTTGTGGGACATCCACCCTTCCCGCCCTCCACCCCACCAGTCCACAGCGAAGCCCACTTCTCAGCAAGTAAGTCAACCCTAGAAGCTGGCTGCCACCTCGCCTCAGCAGCCACCTGGTTCTCCACCCTGGTGCACCCTCTCTTTTCCTTTCCCCACCCCTGCTCTTCCTGCTCTCCTAGACGCGTCTCCTCTTCATCAATACCTGGATGCCCCTTTGGGTACTTTTGAGAAGTAGGGGAATTGATGGTTGGCATGTTGGCTCCTTGACCTGCAGGTGTTGCAGGATAGCAGAGGGGGCAAACAGGCGGGAGGGAAAGGAAACTGGAAACTGTTTTCTCCCTTCTCTCTCCTGCTTCTCTGCCGCCCTGCTCTGCTCACCCCAGAATTCTGGCCACTGGGGATAAGGCATCAGTGATTGCATTTTCTTTTTTTTGTTTTCCCCTGCCCTGTATTTGTTTGTTTTGTGTCCACTCAGGCCGGTACATATAACCCTTACATCTCAAAGATGCATCTGGATTTGGAATGGACGGAGCTTGGCCTGGGGTGGTTTGTAGCCTGCTCTTTGAAATCTATGCAGAAGACTTACTTCTTATTCCCTGGAGCAGAAATGGAGCTTTCTCGGGGCCCAGGGGTAAACTCTCTGAAAGCTCTTCTTCTTCTATGCCCGAGGCCCATTCTGCAGAACCGGCACAGATGGGGGCCAGAGGGGGGTCCCTTGAAAAAAGCCAAATATTCGGCCAGTCAGGACACCACTTATGATGGGGAGCTTAGTAGGAAGGGAGTGAGTTGGTAGGATGGAAATTACCCCCTGCCTGTAATACTTCCCCAGGTTGTCCATGCCTATTACTGCTGTACCAAACGAGACACAATGTGTACATACCAGGATGCGGCAAACATCACTGCACTAGGCTGCAAACTAAATCCACCCAGAGGTACCTCAGAAGAAAAGCTTGGCAATCTACTTCTAAAACCTTAGCTATTAAAACCACTGTTCTGACCAATAGCGACCCTGTATAGGGTTTCCAAGGAGCCACTGGTGAGCTTGAACTGCTGACCTTGCAGTTCAAATGGCTTTGCAGTCTGGTGTGTTAAACCACAGTGCCACACCAGGACTCGCCACAGCATGCATTGTTGTTGTTGTTATGTGCTGTGAAGTCGGTTCCGACTCATAGCGACCCTGTACAGGGTTTCCAAGGCTGTAAATCTTTATGGGAGCAGAAAGCCTCATCTTTCTCCCATGGAACAGCTGGTAGTTTCAAACTGCTGACCATGAGATAAGCAGCTCAATTCCTAACCACTGTGATACCAGAGCTCTTTACAGCATGCATAGGAAACTACAAATGAGGGTGGGGTGGGGTGGGGTGGGGGTGTTTTGAATGGTTTGCTACAAAACTGTGCAATGCTTGCATTATTTGTGTAAAACTAATCTGCCCAAAGTCACATAGCTATCAAGGAGTTGAGCTGGGATTTAAATCCAGCTCTTTGTAACACCACAGTGTACATATACAAGCTTAACCCTGATTTGATAACCATGGTGCCTCAAATAGCCAGCCAATGCCTTTCTGTTAAAAAAAAAAAAAAAAAAAAAGGTAAGGTTTTATTCTTTGTCTTTCCATACGAGCTTTCAACTTTTTTTTTTAGGGTGGGTCATGGACACTTTGAGCATTTGATAGCATCTGTTAACTCTCGCCCTCACAAAGCACACATGTGACGGCCAGCATGCATGTCCAGCATCAAGGATGCTGTGGCTGGGACCAGCTGGTAAAATGGTAAACTCGACACAGAGTCCACAGTGTGTAGTCCGCATGTGCTGCAGGAACCAGTGAAGGGCCTAGGACCGGATGTCAGTTAGGAGATGGTCCAGAGTCTGGCTTGTCTCTGTGTCCAGCAAGCTAAAATAGCACCTGAGACAGACATTATCAATGCCAGAAGGCCAGTTATTAATTTGTCAAGAGAAATCACTGTCTGAGGGACCAGATGTGCTCCATGTGGGTGGACCTGCGTGGTATCAGGGAGGTCTGGGACAGCATGATGAGGCTGATGTCATGGCTGGGGACACAGGATTTTGCTTTTGTTGCTTCTGACCCGTCAGGAGCCTCGCAGAGCTCAGCTTCCTCATCTGTACAGCAGGATGGTCCTGGACCCCGTGGTTGTGAGGAGTCATTGAGATCACACATGTTGGGGCCCTCACACGGGGCCTGGCAGGCAGCACGTGCTTTATAATTGATAGCTTCTGTCATGTCCTGACCGGGACCTCCCCTGCCTCATCTGACTGCTTCAGGTGCTGTCATTTGTTAGAAACCGAGGACACAGGACTGGTCCATGGTGTGGCAGCTCATAATTTGGGTTTACCCCTTGTGTACCTCTGAGACTCCAGTGCTGTGTTTTTCTTTTCTAGGAGACCAGAGGGCATTGCGATGTGGGTAATGATGCCCATTCGCTTCTTTCCCTAGTAGCTCCGTGACTAATTCCGGGCTGTTGTGCTTACCCACCACCACCGGAACCCAAGAGTGCTTGGAATTGGCATGGATAGTATACAAGGTGGCTGCTTCCAGACACTCTGTCCCTAGGCATCACCTTTCCTTGGGTGTTTAACTATTGCTGTGAACTGTGATTTTGGCCAGAGTAGAAACATCTTTAGCCAGCATAAAACCCACCCTGCAGATTTGTACATTTGAGTCCCTGTCAGAACGTTATATATGGGTTCACCAAGACTCCTTACTTTTTATCCTTTCCTTGGTATCCATTATCTGGCTGTGGGCAAGAGCTGAGTCCTGGATTCAAAGCAATCCTAGGAACACTATTGTTCCTTTAGATGGCCCTGGTCCTTATATACAAAGAGGTTGTCCCCAGCTCCCCCAGAAATGAAAATGATGTCATTTGAGTGTCTATGGGAGAATGTGTATGTAATGCAAATATAAGTCCTATTTTCATCGATCCTAACAAAGAACGGATGCAGAGATGATCAGGAACTGAAAAGTTCTCTGTTAAGATCTCAGAGCTGTGTAACCGTGGTCTCTGCCTAGCTGTCTTGTCACCTCACACTCTGGAAGGTGGGCATTAGTATCCCCATTGTACAGCTCAACAAACTGAGATTCAAAGATGGAAAGGCTCCCGCCCCTGTAACCCAGTTCTTCTCTAACCTGAATTTCTTCTGATCCTGCAGTCTCCTTTTCTTTACCTGTGCCTCAGTTTCCCCAGTCTACAGTCAGAGGTTCAGACTGCCTGAGGGCTCTTATCCACTGAGTTTTCTTTTCACTTATTCACTCTCTCAAAAGGCTGGCTTTGGAGACCCTGGACTCCTGTATTGGGGATACATAGCTGCCAGGTGCTGGCTTCACAGGTGCTAAGCCCTACTCCTCTACCATTCTGAATTTCACAAGCGAGCTTCCTCCCTATGGGCCCAGCCACACGCACCCCACAGGCAGCCACCCTGCCAGGCTGAGTGTGTTCACCCACTTGTCACTGTCAGCTCCAGCCCTGCCCTGCTCTGGGATGGCTGGTGACAGGCCATCTTGTTAACCTCTCAGGACCATGCCTGGGCACAGCTTCCGGCAGAGCAGAGTGGCTGAGCCTGGGAATGTCTGAGAAGGGCTTTACCTCTCTAGGATATGCCCTGCTCTGCTCCCCTGGTCTGGGGGCAAGGAAGGAGGTGAGAGAGGAGGTTGGATGGAACCCTGACTTACAGAGCTTTGCTAGTCCTTGAGTTCAAACCCTCACTCGGTTATGAACCAATGCCAAGATAGCAGAATCTTCTCTTGTGTATGGAAGCTGTGGCTCTTCCACTTCAAGCAGCAATGAAGTTGCTATCCAGAGACACTGACATCGGTGACCGCCTTTCTCCATCCTTGTTGTATTAACTCCACCTGGCCTGGGCTCCCCCTCTTGCTCCTTGCTCCACCCACAGACTTTTTCAAGCCCAACAAGCTATGAGTCTGTGGCTTCCTGCTGGGTCCCTATAAAAACTGTTCTTCATAATGACAAAAATGCCATCTTGCTGAGAGGAGTTATTGCTCTTCATCATTCATTGCCTGCTGCTGGACGTTGTTTCAGGGTTGTAGCAGCTAAGTGGATGCTGACAAACCGCTTAACTTCAGGAGTCTGCTTTCCACCCAGCCAGGCTATCTCCAGGACTAAATGAGAAACGTATGTAAATTTCCACCACAGACGCCTGGTCTTAAGAAGTGGTAACTCTAGATAGCCTTTGTATGGTACACAATGGAATAGCTTGTAACAATGATGAAAATCATTGTAATCATTTGTACTCATTTGCAAAAGGATGATGGTAAACTGGCATTTATTATAAGTAGACAATATTACAAGCATTGGAAAACACAATTTACTTTACAATTTCATACAAGCTTTGTAGTACTGCTACTTAAAGAAAAAGAAAGGGCCGGAGTAGAAGCATGCTCCATAAGATTTTCAGTAGTTGGTATTTTAGAAGTAAATTGTCAGGGTTTTCTTCTGAATTCCTTCTGAGTGAACTGGAACCTCCAGCTTCTCTGTTAGCAGCCGAGCACATGAACTGTTTGCATTATTATCCCCATTTTACAGATGAGGAAACAGACTTAGTTTAACTAACTGGACCAAGGTCACAAGGACAATAAGGGGATGGAATTTATCCTCATTCTGAATCTGCCAATCCACAGTAACTTGGTAGGAAATTCGCTGAAACCTGCTCATTGATAAGGAAACTTACACTCTGGTTTCTTCTCCCGCTTGTTTGCCTCTTTGGGGAATTGTCTGGTGGGTAACAGGGAGGCTCTAAAGATGCTTCTCACTGCTCAGCAAGCTGTCCCCACTTTGGAAACAACATCCTTGCAGGCTGACCAGTTGCCACCCAGCCTGGAGCCTGTTGCTAGTCAAAGGAGTCACCATCCCAGGTGGTGGTGATTCCTGGAGGCACTTGGTTGCATCAGACAGCTGCAGAATGCCACTGATTGGACGTCATGGGCAGAAAATGATGTACAACAGGGTGGTTTTGCCACCTGCAGTTCTGTGGGTATTTCCTTATTACCTCCTTAGGGACTGAGCACTTGAGGGCAGCAGTTATCAAGGGGAATG